CGTCTTGTACATGGGGGCGTCTTATTGTCGGAAAAATACGGTACTTACTTTTGCTTCTCTGCCTTGTACTGCTGTGTGCAATCATCAAATAGCTTCTGGTTCATCTCCATAAACAGCTTTAATGCATTGTAGATCAACCCATGGATTGTCCTGCAGAAGACAGAAATTATGATAAATTATTTAAATTATCTCCAAAACACATTGGCAGGGATGAAAACCACCCCCTGAGGAAAACAGAATGTTCCACACTCTAAATTCCTAGCACCTATACTTACACATCTATTTATTAGTCAAATAGCCATTCCAAAGATATCCAGGGAGAAAACAATTAAAACTTTCAGTACTGACTGAAAAAAAAAATTAAATTAGCTCCAAAGCTAGTATGCATGAATACACTCACATCCCATTAACCCAAGAAAAAAGCTGCAGTTATGCAAATAGGGCAGAGGCAGCATATTCATTAATCGTTGAATTTACTTGCATTTTTCCAATAACCACCCATGGTGAAAATGCATGAGCATAAACTAAATGTAGCAATATTATCAGCATATCATCAGTAATCTTTGATAGAAGAACACACTGGAGATCCCTAATTTGAAATTTCACTTATCTCAAGGCACACTAAAATACCTACTTGTTCCAATGACTTTTGGAATTTTTATACAGCGCTGGGAACATGATAGGGAGGATTTTGGCTGCATTGTCACTGATCAAACTCATAATATATTCATTATTCCAATAATACAATGCCCTCTCTGCCACCTGTATAAATAATAAAAAAGAGACCGTTAAAAACAGAACAGAGTAAATATTTTTAAAATTCTTAATGTTGCACATGAATTTGACATAATTTTTAAATACTTGATCAGCTAGTGGATACTTAAAAAATTAAAATTCATCCTGAATATATGAGATTTTGTTAACTTACCTTACAGCTGAAACTTCATTTTTTGAACAAATCAGAATAGGAAACTATAGTGAGTGTAAAAGAGTTTTATTTCATTCGAAGGTAATGCTTTCTGTAATACCCATTAAGGGAATATATAGCAGTCCTAGATGTTCTTCCTACTCCTCTAGGGTAATGGGAAGAGGAAAAATTATATCAAGTGATGATATAAATCTTTGGCATCCCAAACAACTTTTCTTTGAGAACCCCCTTACATGAACTATGGTAGAAAATGTATTCCCTATTATGAAATGTATTGGTAGAAATGTATTCCTTATTATGAAAAGGCATTGGCTAAATTATTTTCATTAATGATCCTCTGCTCTTCCCTCCCTTCCTTCCTTCTTTCCTTTTTTCTTTTTTTGGTGCAGCGCAAGGCCAAACATTTAGCATTTAACAAACTACAGCATGTTGTTAAACCAGGAAACTGTTTTCATTTGACAACAAAGCAGAATGTCAAACCAAAGTTTGCATCACAGTGTGCAAAGAAGGGCCATGTGGACACCATGTTTATTCTAGTAGAATAAACAGTGGTTCACTGGACTGAGATTGGTACATCTAGACTTACTTCGATCAAAAAAAGCAAACTCTGTAATGTATTGTCGAAGGCTTTCACGGCCGGCATATGATGGCTGGTGTGAGTCTTCCGGGCTGCGTGGCTGTGTTCTGGAAGTTTGTTTCCTAACGTTTCACCAGCACCTGTGACCGGCATCTTCAGAGTGCAGGAGCACAGA